GACAAACCGTTTCAACAAGGACAAGCCTTCTGAAGTACCAGGTGGGTAATGCGAACTGTTCCAGGTTTATGAAGCCTAAAACGTGCGCAGGACCCGGAGCGTACGAAGCCGACCCTGCGAACACCCAGAACAAACCACCATCCACCAAGCCCTCTACCGCCGCGGACAGATTATTGGTCTTGCAACGTAAGCTGGAGGACTTGGAGAGGATACATGTAGAAGAGAAGAAAGCTGTGAGTTACTCCTGTCGTGGTCTTGAGCTGTACGCTGACTCTGTCTGCAGCACCACCTGGAACAGGAGCGGCTCAAGCAAGAGCTCAACCGCGCACAGCGTACCGCGTTAGAACAAACGGAACGCGCAGACAAGCTCAAGAAGCAGAATGATGCCCTCGACGCCCGTGTACAAGAGTTGAAGAAAGCCAGTGCCACCGAGCAAGCTGAGCTTCGCGAACTAAGGGTCAAGCTGCGCACGAGCGAACACGAGCGCACCCAGCTCGCATCCAAGCACAATGATGCAGGAGAGGCGCGTAAGGCGTTGCAAGCTGCTGAGGCGCGCCGGAAGGACGAGTTACGGGAGCGTGACCGCAAGATAGCAGAACTGGAGAAGTCGCTTGCTGCTGAGCGCAAGAAGCGGGAGGCCGCCGAGGCGCGGTGGCAGGAAGTCAAGGGCAAGACAGACGACCGGGTGCAGGAGGCGCGTGCGGCTGCTCAGGACCTCGAAGCCAAACTCCAGGATAGCCAGAAAGAGGCCGAAGCTGCTCGGCAGGCCTTGCAGGCTCTCCAGGCACGCGCTGAGGATACGGAAGAGGAGCTCCTGGAGCAGCTCGAACAGCACCGGACTACGCTCTCGCGCGTCGCGGCGGAGTACGGCCGGCTCGCGTCGACCACCATCGCCTTGTCCGTGCACCAAGCCGTGAAGCAGGAGGCGACCGCATTGCAGCTGCGCGCGAATCGGCTTGAGAGGAAGCTGGCGAACAGCGAAGGCCAGGTCGTCGAGCTCGCGAACCTCATCAGACAGGTCAAGGACGAGAACGGGTTCTTGTCCGCGCAGCTTGGCGAGACGCGGGCTGAGGTCGAGACGTATCGTCAAGCACTCCGTGAGGCACTCAATACCTCAAATGCCCACGACACTTTCAGGGACATCGACAACGAGCTCGCAGCCATCTCCAGCGAACGATCTGCTCTCGAAGGCGAGATACACGGTGCTGTACAAGCCGGCCTCAACCTCTGGAGCACATACGACCGCCTACAACGAGATTCCCTTCTATTCCACACATCGGTCCTCCACAAGGAGCTCGATGGCCTCCATTCTCAACTTACGCAGCGCACCGCGGAGCTTTCAGCAGCCCAGGCGACCCACTCGCAACTCTCAGAATCCCTCCAGCGTGCGCAGGCGGAGTGTGCAGAGGCGCAGCGCATGCTGGCGGAGAACACAGCGTCTCTAGCAGAGGCGAGGGCGCATGAGGAGCAATACAAGAAGCAGCTCGAGGCTGTCCAGTCGGAGTCGCACGCTGAGGTCGCTCGTGTGGAGCAGAACCTCCAGCGCGAGAAGGAGGCGAGCCAGAGGCTGAGCGCGGCCGTGCAGAAGGCTAAGCAGGCGGAGCAGTTCCTTCGCAGCGAGGTCGAGCAGTAAGTCCGCTCCCGAGGCAGCCATCCCTTCCAAGAATCATGTGCTGATGATCCTTCCTCGTCCTGCAGACTAAGCAATGACCTTGCAGAGGCCGAGAAGTATCAGGAAGCGTACAACAGCCTTCTCGCGGAGGTAGACGCGCTCGTATTGCGCAACGCTCTTGCGGAAGAGGAGGCGCAGCGGCTGAGCAAGTACAACGCTGAGATTCTCGGGCATCACAATCCCGCGCAGCGCATCATGTACGTCGACCGCATCCGCCGCGAGCTGCACGAGACCAAGCAGGTACGCACCCCCGCACCCTCGTCTCTCTAATCCCACTTACGCGCTATGCCCGACAGAAACTGCTGATGTCCACGCGCGAACGAGAAGCGGTGCTCGCGGACAACGACGAGCTCCGGCACGAGCTCGAGCTGTACAAGTCCGTCGCGATCCCGAACGAGGTTAAGCCACGCACTGCGCTCACACGCGTCGGGCGCGTCCCCGGGCCTTCTGCGCTGTCCGAGTCGGAGCTGGGGTTGTCCATCGCTGGAGGGCGGGTGTCTGAGCAGGGGTACGGACTGCCGAGGTCAACTTCTGTTTCTTCCGGCTCGGCTGCGTCGGGGTCGAGGCTAGCGAGTGTGCCGGAGTGGGACGGGACGATTGCTGGCGGCGATATGACGTTGGACGAGATCATGTAAGAGTTGGTGTCTAGCGGACAGCATGCGCCCATCTACCTAATGTTTATTTATTTGTATCATCCTGTTGCACTGAGTTAACTTGATACCACTTCGCATTGACCTGGATCCCCTCTGAGACTTGAGAAGCGGATGCATATTTATAGGAATGCGCCTTCGACGCAAAGAAAGCGTATACAGCTACAGTAACTACGATACATACATGGGATGATACAGAGATAAGGAAGGGAACGAGAGAAAGGAGCGTCTGCCATCTGCTGACGATGGCTATGATTACAAGGGGAAGACAGAGCCTCGCGCCGTCTTGATCCACTCGGAGTCCGCATCGGGGTACTGCATCGACAGTACGACTCAGTGAGATCGGAGCGAAGTCGTACGGGGGAGACCGACATACCTCCCAAGTCATAATGCCCGCATCTTCACCATCACTCCATGTCAGCCACCAGCGGAAACACAATATCACAAAGCAAAAGCACTCACTCCACCCCAGCTTCTCCGCCTGCGCGACGCACACGCCGAGCGCCTGCGGGTCCATGAAGCCCGTCGCGCCGTCCGCGGCGGTGGCGGTCTTGCCGATGACGAGCTTGCTCGAGGGCACCCCCGCGTTCGCGATCTCCATGAGTGAGGACCCGGGCCAGTCCCCGCCGGAGGAGGTCAGGAGGCTGTAGCAGGTCGTGTACATGTCCGCGCCCTCTGTGTAAGGAGTGGGGATGAGGGTGGGTTGGGGGGCGAAGGAGGGGAGGGTGTGGACTCACGGTTGTAGAACTGAGGTAGAGGGGCGGGAGGGACGATGAGCTGAGCAGAATGTCTGGCAGTCAATCAGAAGTACGCTACCTGTACATTGTACTGGGTGCGAAGGTCAGGACTGGACCTTCCTGGGGTTACTAGGTATCAGGACTACTCACCCAGTCGATCAAGTCGCCGGCCTTCTGGTCCACGGTCAGGTATGCGCCGGTCGCGTTGAACACCGGGGAGAACCATGGTGCGACAGCTACATTCACCAGTTTTCTCTCATAAACGGACCGCGGTCACAGGAATACCGTTCTACTTACGGGCATGGGTCAGCAGGTAATGTCCCTTCGGCAACTTCTTGCGCAGCGTCTGGGTGAAGGTGACCAGCCAGGCCTCTGCGTTCCCGTCGCGTGCGTTCATCGCGGCCAAGTCCTGCCACCATCGTCTGTCAGCTCAAACCAGTCATTCGAACGCTCCGTGTCATGCGCCCTACCTCGTAGTCGACGTCTATCCCGTCCAGCTGGTTGTCCAGGACCCATTGCGCCATAGTGTTAGCGGTCTCCACCGGGTCCGCACCGCTGCTCGTCGGGGAATCTGTGGCCCCGAAAGCGGAGACAATTACGCTGATACCGGCGGCGTTGTACTCCGACTTGAGAGCGGCCTTCTGGTCGTTACTCAGAGCCGCCCATGCAGCGGCCTGGTCGGCCGCGCCTGAGACCAGCAGGAAAGAGAGTACACTGCAGCGGCATGTCAGCACATGCATTATGTGGTGGGTCCGGCATGGACTTACACAACGGTGTAACCCTGCACAAGAATTCGGCGTCAGTACTCGTGTATCGGAGGAAATGACACAGTGAGGACTGACCTCAAGCTCTGAGACCGCGGGTAGCACGGCACCACCGGTGGCTCTGTCCGTGTAGATGACGAACGCAGGTGTTGACCCATAGGTAGACGAGGTACCACCGGAAGACGTCGGACTTCCAGTACTGCTGCCGGGGGAGGTAGTGTTCCAGGACCCAGAGGAAGTCGAGTTCCAGGAGCCCGATGCAGTCGAGTTGCCGGAGTCTGGCCACGTCGAGTTGGCCGGCCACACGTCTGCGTGAGCCTTCCCTGATCCTCTCGCCGTCGCAGGAGCTGAGAGCACCCCCACGCACAGCTGGAGAAAGCCGAGGACCAGGTACACAACAGAAGAGGACAGCGGGTGCATCCCTGAACCTGAGAGACCTGTCGAAGCAGAGCGAGGACGACCGGAGGTCAAGTGCACGGAGCTGAGTCGACTCGGGGACGGGGGCCCAGGGAGTCTGCGAAGGCGTGCTTATAGCAGAGGATGAGGGACGGGGCGCCGCATCCTCAACATTCTGTAGGAAGAGTCATCAATGAAGGGTCAACGATGAAGGTCAACCTGAGTCCACGGATGCGCTGCTGTCATGTTCGGACACGCTCAAGCAGCTCAAGCACCTAGCCAATTGCACCTTGAACCCCAGTTGGAGTGAACATAACGCTTCGTGCCCTCAGCTGGAGGGCTCGAGCAGTAAGAACGTAGAGTTATCATGCAGGTGGGTAGCGAACTCCACAAGCACTCCACGAGTATTCATGGAAGAGGTTGAGAGCATACCGGAGGGAGGCCGTAACAACGCCTGAGGCCTGAGGAACGGAGAAGGATGGTACAGTAAGGCGTGACGTCACATGCCCTTGAATGCAACGAGAATGCAGAATTTGCCAGTTTTGTCATGAAATTTGGCGGCGCTGCAGGGCTGTGAGCTGGTCTTTGAAGTAGTGTACGCGAGGACTGTCAGTGTAGAGACTTACTGTACACTCGACGTACGGACGCGGTCGTACAATGGGTCATACAGTCCCTCTCGCTTCGGGTTTTTCGCTCTCCGATCTGTGCCCCAAAGGAGCGGACCTTGACTGGAAGGTCTGGTTACGACACTAACAAAAAGTGTAGGCGATTGCTTTCCAAGAGGCGCTACCAGGGCTCGAACCTGGGTTTTGGGAACACTGCGATCAGAATCCCAAGTGATAACCACTACACTATAGCGCCGTTGTAGGATGGCCTATGGCCTCAAATATAGAGGCGCCGTCACATAGACCACCCACAGAGAGCTGTGCGCGGAAACCTGGTACGCTTGGACTTGGACCAATACGACGACGATGAACCCGCCTCACATCCTCATCGCCCGCAATTCCAGAGGACCTAATAACCTAAACTCTGCCTCCCTTAGCTCTCCTACAGAGACCCACGCAGCTGCCGCGGGCATATTCAGGTCCGCCGGCTCCCCGCCCTGGTACTTCGAGGAGTACGAGTCGGATGGCGGCATAGCGTCGTCCCTCAGCACCAACGGCGACATGGAGGACCCAATCGAGATCGACGAGACCTTCACGCGCTCGTACAAGTTCCCCGGCAGCGTGAAGATCATAGTCGAGTCCACTACCTTTTGGTGAGTGCACCTCCGCGCGGGCCGACGTCCGCTGTGGCTGAACCTGCGCGACGGACGTCAAGGGCGCATAAGGAGGTCCTCTACTTCGCCTCGGCCTTCTTTCAGGCAGCGCTCAGTGGCGGGTGGGCTGAGACAGAGCGGGATACCGGAAGGCCACAATCCATGTCCTCTGTCATCACCATCTCTCAGCCGCCTACTGTCCCTGGAGGGAGCTCGACCGCGGACAGGCAGTCGGAGATTACGTTCGCGCCCATGGACCCGGACTTGGACCCGGATGAGCTTCCGCTTGATATCGACATCAACCGCGACGGGGCGAGCGATGACGAGCCGAAGCCCGAGGAGAAGGTCAAAGCCAGGGAGGACAGTCTGAATAAGCTGCAGAGCTCTAATCCTGCGACGCCGACCAGTCCTAAGACTCACTTCAAAGGTAAGGCGAAGGCGCCAGACGTGGATGGAAAGCCGCCTGTCGCGGCGGTGTCTCGAGGCGCGAAGCGGAGGACAAGAGAGAAAGAGACGCGTCCGGACGCGATCATCGTGCTCAAGGAAGAGAAGGTAGGACAGCGTGGCGGACAGTCCTCTCGCACCTGCTAATGGTACATAGGCCAGTACCTTCCACGACTTCCTGAAGTATATCTATCCGCAGTATGTTCTCTCTCAATGGTATGCAATGCTGCTCAAACCAACCTGAGAGGGGATCAGCCTTGTGTGCACTATTACTTGGAACAACGTCGAGGGCCTCATGAACATCTCGCATAAACTCCACGTCCCCGCCCTCCAAAACGAATGCCTCACCTTTCTGCTCACGCACGCCGCGGGTCGGCCACTGAAAGCGATGCGCATAGCGGAGCTCTTCGACGAAGAGGAGCTCTACCGCGAGGCGAGCCGTTTCGTGCTTGACAACCCCGGCGGCTGGTCCGAAGAGGAGCTTGGCACTCTCAGTCAGGCCACGCTCCTGAAGCTCGAAAAGCGCAGGACATGGTTCCTCGAGCGCGTCCTGAAGCTCGGGCTAGTACAGATCGCGAAGGAGTATCAATGCGTGCGTATCAATGCCGGAAAGGTTCGCAACCGCTGCGAGGTCCCCGCTAACATATGTTTCGTGTCGCTACAGTGTCAGTCATGTCCGGACCCCGCCAACTGCGCGAGGCTGCTCGAGGAGAAGTGGAAGCAGGCCTACCACGCCGTCTTCCGCTTCGGCCCCTGCCAGCCGTCCATGGTCTTCCGATACCTCCGCACGCTCGAGGGCGTCAGCCCGCCGCTCTCCCTCACCCACCTCAGTTGCCAGACGACCGCGAAGGCGTTCGTCGCCACCCGTACGTCCCTCTCTCTGAGCCCTCCCCACTACGACCCAGAGCTGAGTTGTTGCTACGCCGCGCATCACGCAGTCTTCGACCGCATGTTCTCCCTTGGCGTCCGTGGCAGCGGGACGGACACGGCGCCACTCGGGGCGCGGGTCGCTGCCGTCGCTGGCACGGCGACATCTGGTCCTCGCCGGCATTTTCTCTACTGCACGCTGCATAACGAGCCTGCTACACGCCCGAAGCGTTCTCGCGAGCAGGCGTAGGCGTATATCCTATTACCCATCACACATACATGCTGTACTATAGAAGACGCGCGCCATTGTTCCGTTGCTTTTGCCGTTCTTGCTTGCTTTCGATCTGTTTATTGCCTTCTGATTCGCAACCCCGTCCGCTACCCTTCGATTCACCTCGCACTTGGTTCTGATTCAGTCATCCGGCCCCCAGGGGACAATGGTATGCGTTGTATGGATCCGTAGTTAGGATGGTATACATATTTATAGGAGCTCGGGTATAGATAATCTGCGATGGGCTGCGGCGTTATACCAGTGCTGGGGGAATGAAGACAGGGAACGCGGATGTAAGGAGTGGGAAAGGCATTACGGTTAGCCTGCACGGCGGTCATGGCGGTGGAATGTCGCGAGGACACGAATAATAGAACAAGTGTGAGGTCCCCCAGTGAAACGAAAGCTAACCCAAGAAAGAGATGCAGGAAGGCAGAGTGAACGGCATGAGAGAATAATAAACAAGCGGGATGGGGCGGCAAGTGAAAGGAAGGAGCTTTTGGTACAGCTGCCGCGGGAGGCTCTACATGGCTACAGACCACGGTAATGATGGCGGGCATAAGAGGGAACCGGCTGAGTCGAACAAATAGACAATAGTGATACGGAAAGAGGACGAAGCGCGCGGGGTCTCATGAGACTGGAGGGAGCTGCTCGAACACTCGCGGCGCGTTTTCTACGAGCCACTCGATGCAAAGCGCCTTGCCCGCCATATCGCTGAACTCGGCGCCCGGATCGCGCGAGCGCATCAGTGTTGCTAGAAAAGTTGAGGACACATGAGTATTCGGGTGTGTAGCTCAAGCGGTATAACTCACGTCCGAAGACAACGCCAAGATTGCGTGCGTGCATGAGATTCTGCTCGCTCCTCTCACAGATGCTGCGTACCGGTCAGTCTCTTTGAACACCCCTCAAGTGCACAATAACATACCGATTCAGATGGAGCATCAGTGCTCTCAGCGTGTAGTAGTGCTCCCGCGGAAGCTCGTGAACCAGATCGGCGAACGTGTTGGCCTTGACCGCTGGATCCCGGATGGTCGCAGCACCGATGAACTTGTCGTGCAGCTCGAAGGTCAAAAGGGGATTGGGTAGTGCACGCAGGTACGACTTGAGGACCGACGTGACGCTGCAGATGTCGTTGAAACGCTCAGAGTCTCGCAGATCGAAGGACGCGTAGTCGCCACGCTCGAAGAGCTGGGTGATCATCTTGGACTGCCCAGAGCCGCCGGTCTTGCGGTAGATACCCTCAAGATCGAGAGCTGAGGACGATGAGTCTCAGAACAGGCATTCATAACAGAGGACATAAATGCATACCTATATGGTCCACCGCGTCGATACACTTCTCGACAATGACCGGGATCACTCTTGGCTCCTCCTTCGAGTCGGCACGGACCTGTTCGATGAGATCACGCCCGAACATGGACGGCGCTGCGAATGGAAGTATGTCAGCATCGTCAACAGAACTCCTGTAATCGTCGACGTACGCAATGGAGCGAGAGGGGCCTGGCCATCGTCGCGGGAAGGTGCAGACTGTTGCGAGCAAGCCAAGTTGACGTTGTGAATGCATCGAGTATGGACCGCGATGTTGCACGCTATCATCACTTCAGTCAGCGCACGTCCCGCCACATATACACTTGAGAGCTCACATGTACAGCGAAACTGCGAACCCCACATCTTGTCCCCGCAATGGTCACACCTTGCCACACGCAGCACGCTGACCTGCTGGAAGATATGCTCCGTGCGCCACTTGGGCTTGTTGGGATCGTTCCCATTCACCGCGACGTTCTCCTTGGGCGCCTTCGACCCCGGCCACTTGAATCGTCCCTTGGTCGGCTGCTGCGGTCCAGGGGTCTCCTGCACAGTGGTACTGATGACCTTCGTCTCGGCAGATTCATCAGTTGCGGCAAGCGTGGTGGATGACACCGAAGCATTGAGCATCGGTGGGGAACGTGCCCGATCGAACGAGTTTTCGCGGCGTTCTTGCAGTACATTCTCCTCTTTGGTGGCATTGGAGTTGGCTGCAGCAGCTTCGAGACGGCGCTGATACTGAGCATTGAGCTGGGCCAACTCCTCGTTGCGCTGGTTGAGCACAGTCGTCTCCTCGAGGAAGGCGTCGCGGGACGCCTTGAGCTCGGCGATCTCACGGATGAGAGCTTCCCGCTGCTCGATAAGAGGGATGAGCTCGTGTTGATACTGCGTCTTGATGTTGTCGAAGCGCATCGAAAGCGCCCTAGTCATCGAGGCACCACCATCTTCGCTGTCGACGATGGCAGGGGAGCTAGCACAAACATCAAGATGAACAAGGGATCACACGCCCCCGAACTAATGTACGCACCTCTTCGACGCGGACAGCTGCTCGACCTCGGCCAGAGTCATGTCTCGCTCGACCTTCAGCTTGGACAGGTCTCGCTCGAGCGACGACAAGTTGTCTGTCAGCTCCCTAGACAGCTGTTTCTGCGCCTCTTGCCTCTTGGATTCGGCAGAGGAGGCTGTGAGCCGTGCTGCCTGGCCAGACAGAAGAACTCGGAGGCGCGTCACCTCAGCCTCGGCATCTCGCCGGGCTTTCAGCTCACGGTCGTACTCCGTCTGCGCAACTGTCAGGCCGTCCATATACTGCTTGCTCGCACGCTGTGAGTCGTACATACGGCAGGTGAGCCACATGCATCCTCATGACAAACGAGATCAAACAACGCACTTTCATGCCATCCAGGCTCCGCTTCAAGTCATTGTAGTCATTCTGCTGCTGCTCTAGCAGCGTCACGACCGCCTGGACAAACGCCGCGTCGAGGGTGACCTGCGCCGAGCCCCGTTCCGTAGCAGCAGCCACCGCCTCCTTCAGCTTCTGCCGCGCGTTCTCGACGCCGTCCGCAGGTGCGGTGACCGTGATCCGCGCCAGGCCATTCTTCATCCCGTTGGCGTTGGCAGATGCGCCCGCGTTCGAGTCCATCCTGTCGCGACGTCGTGACGCGACGTTGAGCGGCGGCGTGCCCGACCGCGGGAAAGGGTCCAACCGCGCGCGGTCCCGGTCGT